TTCATACCTTTGTTGCCTTTACTTGCAGCTTGATCTGCGCAATAATTTATGGAATAAGAATCGGCAATGCAAGCTACCCAGCAACTTTCCCTTCTGACGTCACAGGGGGAATTTCTGTATGCAAATGAGAAGCTAATGAGGAGCCTCTTTTTAAAATACACAACAATAAAGTTGCCGTAGACTGAGTTTAAAACGCATTTTTTCAGTTAAAAAAAATAATTGATGCTTAGAAAATTAATAATATTTATGTATCAATGAATAATTTCAGGTGTGAAAATAGCAGCCATTTCACAGGCACTTTAAGCATCGCATCATGGGCGAAACAAAAGTGACGTGGCTATTTGTCTAAGCGACGCAGACTCGCAGTGCTTGAAAGGCCTGGGGAGAACACTGCCTGGTCCATTCCTCCCTGGGGCGCGCAGCTACTCTTCCCTCCCGTGGAAGGGTATGAGCGCTTGCCTCCTGGCTGACTCTGGCTAACGGACGTCGTCTCACGGCATTGTGTTTTCTGTGATTGGGGCGCCCTCCGTTTACCCTTGGCAGTGGGCAACTAGCTAGCGGATTCGATCTGAACCACCTGGTTCGTTGCACTCCAAAGCTCCGAGACTGCAACCGCCATCTCCCCAACAAAGAGGGAGGAAGATGTACCCATGACTCAGTTTGCTGGCGAAAACACACTCGTCTAAGACCGCGTCTCGTTGCACAGTAGTAGCCCCGGCCAAGAGAGCCAGGTGACACTAGGGGATGTCGCACGTAGATGTGCGGGGGCACACCAGTAAATGTGACGCCTGGGATACGCGGTTTGGGCATTTTGTCTCATCCCACACTTTGGGGTCTGATCCTGAAACCACACTGACCGGATAGCATTTGGTCCAGCGGAAAATGTTGCATAAGATTTACCCCACCCACCCCCTTAAGCATTACCTCCTCCGCTATTGACCAACGTCTACCCATCAACACCGTCTGCGCCCCACTCAGCACTCGGCCGGACATAGGAAGACGTGTTGACGAGGTTGCTTTGGATCCCGACACCTGTGATCCCATAAGCGATGAAGCAACAGTAAGTTGAAGCAACAGTAAGTGGTTGCCTTAGGATCAAGGGTGGGGTATATACATCGTATCACTAAGATCAATGATACTCCACATCACCACAACGGCATGGCTCACCGAGTCGTTACAGATGGAAGACCACCCGAGGTACAAGCTGTATCCGGCGCGAGCGAACTGTCTCCTTTCAACATAAATATGTGAAATATTTCATGACAGCGTTGGTTTCCTTTGGGGACGCCTGTGGGTCGGTAAGAAGGGAGCCAAATCCAACAGTGGAGCCTGGACCCAAGGGTAAATTCCTGAGTCCGGTCCCATGCGACAAACTCTGGCTGGCTGAAAGTAAGGGGGGAGGCGCAACGTGTGCCCTGACCCGAAAGCCCTGCCCTGAAATCGAAGGCTCGGCTGCCAGCATCCCCGTTGGCATTTAGTGCCCGAGGTCCCAGAGGAGACCAGGTGCAACTAGCCTGAGCCTCGGCCTCACCCAAATCAGCTGGAGAGTCACGACTGGGAGTGGGGGGGTTCCCCGGAAGAGACATGTTTTGAATGCGAGCGATGCTTTTTCTTCATGCTCGCCGACCGAGGGGCCGCAGTGGAGACAGCTCGCTCCGACTGCATCTGATCTACCCTGCTTGCCAGGGACGCAATTTGCCCCGACTGTCCTTCGACTGAAGCCCTCAATTCAGAGGCAAACCCTACGTCGTGAGAGGACGGATCTACAAAGGGACCAGCAACGGGCCCCATAGAAGGAAAGACCTCCAGGGGCACAGTCTCGCTGTAGCCAGTAAAATCAGGTAAATTATTGCCTGAAAACACAGACTGTGAGAATGCCCTCCGATCAGCGGGGAGAGGTCGAAAAATATCGGTACCTCAACCATCGGGCCTCCTACTCGACGTCTCAGTACACGAAGTACCGGAAGCCGAGTGTGAGGACTTTCCACTCATGCCAACAGGCAACTCACTTTAACTGATTTTTACTGGACGCGCTACCTTGCTGTGAAAATACGAGCGACACGATCAGTCTCAGCGATTTTGCATGGCTCTGAAAAACATCCCAGGCCTCCAGTGAAAAACAATCACCTTCAAGGCAAAAACCTTGAACCCCACATGCAGCCAAAGCAAAAATAGCATTTCGGATGCGGGTCCTATGCTGTTAATTCTGATTATAAACACTGCATGTCATGGGGCTTCCCCTGACCTAGATTATGTATCTCTCCGTCATTGGAAGAATCGCTGATTAATGCCTACAGTTCAAAATAGTCATTTTGACTGACCGGAGTCTATGGTGGGTAATTGAACGTAGTGAATTTGACTTTCAAAGAGACAACAGTTGCTTGATGTTGAAAAATCAGATTACAAAATAATATAACATGCATATGTTATGTACCCATGACTAGAGAAATAAATTCAAAAGATTTGAGAGCCCCTTACCCAATTCTAGAGTACCATACTACATCACACACAAGCTCATTTCAGACTGGCTTACCTTTGCTTTTAAAAATGAAGGGTATTTACCAAAAACTCTGGTCAATAGTTCATCGGTTACTTCATTTCCCAAATCACCACAGAATATTCTAAAATCATCTTTTAAAAAAAAAACAGAAAAGTTAACACATGATATTTACTGATACTCAATACTCATACTTAGTTTGTGGTCAAACCAAGCATGTAGTAAATAAGATTGAAGTCACCATGAAAAAAATGTGAGTTAGTTTTAAAATGTGTCTAGGCACAGCGGACATAGCAGGATAGACAAATGATAATATGTGAAATGTGAATTACACCATTGTCAATACCATGTAATCACTACATGTACATATCTAAACTTCCAAATGAGTGTAATACATGTAGATAGGTTGCATTTGTAATCAAATAAAGAAAATCAAAGAAAGCTTAGAAAGAACTCCTGTGTGCTGAGGGAATAGGGATCATGATGTAATATTCGGGAATATTTGAAAATGATAAACAAATTATGAATAAACTATTATTAAGGAGCCACCAGTAATCATCTACACACATAGACATCGTATACCTACAATAAGCCTACTTAAAAATATGCATAAAAAGTCTACACAAAATTGAAACATTAAAAAGAAAACTGAAATAATTCATAAAACATTGGGGAAAATGAAACGCAACGAAAAG